TTCGACCTCTCTCTCTCTCTCTCTCTCTCTCTCTCTCTCTCTCTCTCTCTCTCTCTCTCTCTCTCTCTCTCTCTCTCTCTTTCGTCACTTACCAACAATTTTCTCTTCTCCGTCACACATTCGCAAAAGAGGTGAGAGGCTACTAAAGCTTTTGCGTCGAGAACTTCACCAAAGGCACAAAAATGAAAGTGCTTACCGTCGCGGCGACTCTTGAAGGGGTGAAAAAGGCCAGCGTGTCTGTGAACGATAACGTCTCCCCTTCTTTCTCGATCTGTGAGCCTCCTCCCAGTCGTGACAGAGATGGACCACATGTGAAATTCAATTTAGAAGAATTCTAGTTTTTTCCTTTCCTCTTAAACGAAGAATCAATGATACATCATTGATGACCGAGACGACGTTGCCGGTCGACTTAGCGATCTTATTAACTGTACAATTTTTCTTTGTGTAATAAATTTTACAGAAAATGTTTCTTATTTTATATATCTAGGATTTTATTTTTTCAAAAACTGAATCATAAAAGTATTTTCTCTTTATTTTATATATTTTTTTGTAATACCTTATCGAAAAAGAATCATCCAATTAATTAGAATGTATGGAAAAAATGGATTTTCTGAAATATCTAAAAATTTAACTAAATATAGAGCTGAAAATAATTTCGTTGAACTATCAAAATAACTGTGGAACGCTCAAGTATGCTGCAAGAAGTTTAAATATTCTAACAATTGGTTTGAGCGACCTACATAATTACTTCGATTCATCAAAATTATTTTTAGATCTCTATCTATGTAGCTTTTAAATATTTCAGTAAAACCACTCTTTCTATATCTTATTTTTCAGAAAATTTTTCGTAGATCTAATATTGAGACTTTAATGCATCAAAATGTGTTATGTTTATTATATTATTATATTAAATTACAATAATGATGATATAATACATTTATATCGTTAGAATTTTCATACAATATAAGATAATATAGCTCGACTTGAATTTTTAATGAAAAAACATAGAAAAGAACTTCTTTCCCGCACTGTAAAATCGCGTAACCCACCGTATTCAAGCGAGACGCAAAGATAACTCCAGTACGAGTACTCGCGATACTCACACGAAACGTCAAATCCCGACGGTACGTCCGTTTAAAACAGAAATACGTAACACAGCGTATATACTCATTAGCTCTTTTAATGGCATCCCGTCATATTTCATACAGCTCGCTGTATTCCGCTGTATCCCGAAAGTTTCAAGTCGCTCTCGCAAAAAGTTACAAGTCATGTGGGAAAAAAACTCCGCAGCGCTAAAATGTTCCGCCTTGTTTCCCGCCGTATGGCGCATCATAAAGCATGCCGTTATACCGCCCCAAACTTTTAATTCGCCGTCGTCGAATGAGACTGCGGCGCGTAACGGCTTGTAGGTCCACCATACGAATATATTTGATTGAATTTATTGTCCAACTTTGCGTGCGATTTAAATTTGTAAAAATTCAAATCTGTAATATAAGTAACACTTATTAATTTCAAAATATAATAGATAGTATATAAGACGATTTCGATTTCTAAAATTCAATGTTTTAAAATTTTTAATTGAAATATGGTGTTAAAATTTTCTGGAGAATTATTTTATATTTGTCTCTGTATTCTCCTCTCTCTCTCTCTCTCTCTCTCTCTGCTTTGTATTCTATTTTATAAATATACATATCATCTCATTTATATTACTTCATAAATATGATTCATGATCAAGGGAAACATTTAATCGGCTCAACCATCTATCAATGACAATTTCTACGTATCATATAATACAGGCGATTTGGATTTCTAAAATTCAATTCCGAAATTGAAATATTGTGTTAAAATTATCCGAGAAATATTTTATATTTGCTTTGCGTTCATAAATATACTTACATTGTCTCATAAATATGATTCATGATCAAGGAACATTGTTATATATTTACCTGGCTTATCCATCTGTCAATAACATTTTCCAGAATCGAATGAAGCCATAGTGCTCGTGAACTATAATTACCGCTAATGGTTGAATTGATAAATTGTTCATCATTATGCGCTCTAGTCACAAACGTCAATTATTACAACAATATAATTACAATAATCAGGGAGTATTATGATGGATGAGAATCTTTGAATTTGTGGATGTATGGCGTATTTTTATTGACATTCTAGAAATTTATGTATACACAATAATGTAGGTATACACGAAATGATATACATGAACATACGAGATATTGTAGAAGCGAATTTTTCATTTACACAGAACTGCTGTTTCGGACCGCCGGCGTAACGGATGTACACGAACGTAAAATAATAGCGACAATTAATGTCCGTATAAACGCTGCGTGCCCGATGATCGACCGACGTCGCGTAATGACACCCTCGGCTCACAACGGTAATATCAAGCACGCTCAGCTCCGGGGCGTGGTGACAAATGATCCACGAGGAGCGGCTCATTTACCACCCGTCTCTCGCAGGGAGCGACGTTATTTTTATTTATTCGCGACTACACCGTCGCGAGGAGATTCTATCCTCCTTAACTCGTCGCGCTCGTGCTCGATGGGGTGTCTGTACGCGAAGCTACGCGAGCTTTTCCATTCTTTAAATCCCTTGGGAACCGCGTCGAATGCCGTAGCGTTTCCCCAGGAGACTCTTCGGTGCCAACTACGCGAAATGGCTTTAATGCCGGCCGCGAAAAGGGAGTCCCCTTCACCCGACGATTGTACCATCTCATGTGTCACCCTACTACTCTGAACGCCTCCCTCTGAGCTTGGCACGCTTCTTTTAGCCCTTCTTTCTTGCGCCATCGTGCTTACGGGTCCCATCGGCACTCGTTAAAGCGCCGGGCACAATGGGGATCCTGTGGAGATAAGGTGGATCGATGATTCTCGTCCAAAGAAGACGGTCATATGGCGAGACATGTTTGTTAACGTGACGTTTGAGATAAGGCTCCTTCATTGTTTAATTTCTTGTTTAACTTTGTTAACTCAACTACTGCAGCTAGACTTGATAATGCGGTAATGTTACACGACCCAAATAATGCTTTTATGTCTCACATTAATATGATTAGGAAGCGAACTTTGTTTTTCATTGCCCGTCTTCATAATGGATAAGAAAAAGATAGCCTCGCTTAATAGCTTAACGGGGATTTCGAGATTTTGATGCGTACGACCGTATCAACTGACTTAAATGCAAATCCACGTGGCTTTAAAATGGGAACGAGAGAAGTCCATCAGGTGATTCGTAGTTCTTTTTTTCTGCAATTTCCAAGAATAACGGATTATGTCGTTTCACTTTTGCTACTGAAATGGGGTTGATGGGTTCTCTGCTTACTCAAACCACTCTCCTCTTATCTTTCAACATGACATTAAGTTCAGCATTAATATTATTATTATTTCTCTTTTTTTCTCGAATAATATGTTTAAATTTAACGCATACAATAACAATCCTCTAGTGCTCGCACAGCTTAACCGCTTTGTCCCTCTGTCTATAATGTAAATAATAGCGATTATTTATATGCCGGGGGCGTACGGCGCAGCGTGCTGTCAAAATCCATACGTCAAAAGGATATAAATCGTCCCTTATATCTTCATTCAAAGTGGCAATTTTCGAGGGAGAGTTGCTGCTGGCAACGATCACAAGTGGAAAAGCCAATGCGAGAGCTTCATTTCGGAGAGGTACCTACGGCACAAAAATAGTCGGGTGGTGCACCGCTGACTCTCATTCTCTCGTCGGCGATCGGAATCAAAGCTACAAAAGCTGCAGTGATATATTCGCTGGTCGACCGCAAAGCCGATTCCGGCAAATCATACGTATACCGCACATATACGTGTGCGACCCGTGTCCGTATGTGTGTGCGTGTACGAGTGTGGTTCATGTTCAAAGCCACACACATATGCAAATATACGAGCACGCAAGAGGAAGTCCCATCAGGTAACGATAGCATCGTGTTCGTAGCATTATCTTAGTCCCAATTTATATTACTCTTTCTGTTCACAATTATCGATATATTGTTCGCTTATGTCAACCGATTGTTTACTCACCTATACAAAGAAGGAGAGAGAGAGAGAGAGAGACTTGCTTTAGATATCCAATGTTATGAAATTGGGAATTTGTTAAATATCTTGCGATCCCGGATGCGAACGCATAGTAAGATTATTGTTCCTCTTCTCACGCGATATATTATAGTACATAACTATAGTGTAGCACAAACTACGTTCATTCTCGTGGAAATTTAATTTCGCGAGAATTTCCTAATCGCATGCAACGTTATATCGATCGTCTCGACGACAGACTAAAATAAAATTGAAATTTTCGCATAAAGTAGACGGCATACTTTTTATAAAGTTATCTTTAACATTGAGGGATCTTCTCTCCTCCTGGAAATATTTTTGCTTCTTTGAAACGGACAAAATATTATTTAAATAAACCTTATCTGATGGTTCCTATTATTGTTTCAAAATTTAAATAAATAGTAAATTTAACGATGTTTATAAAATAGTTAATTGAAATTTCTAGAGATAATAACGCGGATAACGCCGCACTAATAGATGGAATTGCAATCGACTTTTATGCGCAAATACATGATTATGTAAAATAATTCCATGCAAAATGGTTATATTATCGTAGTAAAGCAGTTAATATGCTGAGCAATATAAATGCGCGGTCGAAATTATAGAAATTTGTATCATGTGCTAGTTAAATACCGTGGCTGATACACAATATTTGAAATAGTACATTACATAACACATTATGTACATATATAAAATATTTTTCAATTTGTCAGAATTATAAGAATTGTTAAATTATTAATTTCATTTGAATATACGCTTTTCAAATAATATTTAAGAGAAATCAGAGGAAATAATTATTTCGTAATATATGTAAATTATATTGCTTTTTTATCACTAATAGATCTCTTTTATCTATATATTTTTTTAAATTTTATACAACATTTCAGGGATATATATAGAAAATATTTTGTTAATAAAAATTAAAACTAAAATATTGAAAGGACAGTTATTTACTACAGTTAAAGGAGCTTCGAAATACTTTGAATGACATCTACCACATTCCGATCCAGATATAACTCAGTGGATCAAGCAGTTGAGAAGCTCTACTGGTAAGCTTTAAAAAGTAAATTACAGTATAAATAATACATATAATATTATAGATATTTATTTAACTGTCATGAAATAAAATAATAAATAACAGAATTAAAAATTATAATGTCAATAAATATTATTTCTCAGAATGTACGCAAGAAAGATCGTTTATCGGTATTACCTGCAGCATAAATAAATAATATTACTATCAGTCGAGAATATTGCGATAGTAGATAAATTTATATAAATATATTATTACGTTTACTATTGAATTTGTGTCGCAAGGTTCCACTATCGATAAACGTGCAGTTGCAATTTTCACATGCTGGAAAACGCACATGCATCTCCGTTTGTGAGTCGGTCAAGTCACCCTCATCTTAATTAAAAAAGAAAAGGCTGAGGTTGAATGAAATGGTACATTCGGCAACTATGTACATACCAACTTTACATAAAGCATGAGTCAACGGTCTACCGACTCTGCGAATGCATTTGATAATAAATTAAAGAGTCAACGATGCAGCTGCATACGTATTCGTGCATAAGTACTCATCCACTAATTGTAAGATGATTTGCTTAATTTGTCCGTTAGATCGAAAGGTTAATTAATTCGAAGTTCCGAACTGGAGTCAGAGAGCGAACTCCTGGGAGATCGGTCGATTTGATACCTTGACATACGTTTAATTAATCACGCGCTAATTAATTTTGGCGTGATTAACTGCCCGATATTTTTTTCCATGCAGATTTTACCGAGAAGAATCAAGTTTATCGCACACACGTTATATCCTCCCTTTTATAAATCACTCTGTATTCCTGCTACGCGTAGAGATGAACGTGAAGAGTCACGCGTGAATACATTAAAAACGTTTCCTACTGTAGACGCGATCGTGAACGACGATAAAAACTTTGTTAACGGAAATAAAACCTCGACGATAATTGCTACGGCGAATTTTTTCACGTGCAACTAGACGTAAATTCCTCGCTCGACGGTATCATAATTTCGCGATGTTAAACTAACTCGTGTGTATTACAACAGGAAGAAAAAGAATTATTTAATGTATACGTTTCTGGCAAAATTTCTCTGATAAAAATATTTAAAAAATTTAACTGAATATTAATTTGAATCTTGTAGTTGAAATATGATCAAATGAATTAACGCTAACATGAAAAGTGAAAATTATAATCAAACTTGTAACATCTGCTCTCCATTGTTATAAAATTCACATTAGAATTGTATAGTTTTTATGTTTCTGAGGAACGATCAACATGGATGAAATATTTGCTACGGTGACCGTTACGGCGTATAAAAAGCGCATAAATTATCCTAACGACCTGTGAGCGCGTGAATGTAAATTATTTAAGGACTTAATGAAAGCACCAAGCGAAGAATTAAACTTTTCACGTTGTCATTCGGTGAATGCAATTTCCTTTTTCGGAAGCTGCATCAATGTGCACGAAAGCGATATAAATGGCCTTAGGTACGCGGATCGATATGTGTAAATATTGGTAAATTGCATATGCTTAAACAGTCTGATTTGTTGTCCTATAATTTAAGGTCATTACCAGGTACATAATTATGAAACACGATGGACTTGGGACGATTAAATTAAGGTTAACGTAATTAAACCCGTCTGTCATCACACCAATTTAATCTCTTGATCACTACGGACTTTCAGAAATAAATTACATCATTTATTGTAATGAGTGGCTCAATAAAATTGTTAATAAACTCATTTGTGAGAAAGAAAATTTTTACTTAAATTTATCACAAAAAAGCCTTGTTATATAAATTTATAATGCATACAGAAAGAATAGTTTTGTTGAAATATTTAAAATTTAGCTAGATATAGATTTAAAAATAATTTTGTTGGACTGTTAAAATAATTATGTAGAACTTTCAAACTGGTTAATTGCTTGAATGTCAAAACTTTTTACAGCATTGCTCATCATGCTTTTTCTATATAATTATTTTAATGGTCCAACAAAATTATTTTGAAATCCGTATCTCCCTTTAGGGGTAAATGTTTAGACATTTCAATAAAATTCTTTCCGTGCATTATTTAACTAAAATAATTTATTTAACAGTAAAAATTATCCAATATTAGTAAAAAAATAAAAAATGATATTAATAAAAATATTCTATATTATTAAAAATTAAAAAAGTGCATCGGCAAAGTTTCCATACTGATTCAAAAATTTTAACTACTCCACTGCTCTGTGAAAAAACTCGTGTAGAACTTATCGCGACTGCAATCGTTTTGAGCACTACGAAACATTTTGATGCAATACTTGAAACATACAAGATACAAAGTTGTAAAGCAGCAAACTTGGGCAATTAAATTTCTCGCTCTCAAGCGCGCTATAAAAAATTATCTTGCGGTTGGACGACCATAAAGAGCAGACTCCACTTAGCATGCCCGCAGTTTCCAAGCAATATTTGCTGTGGTAAAATTACAAATTTTAATTTACGAGAAATGAATCTAACGATATATATAAGCATAAGATCTCTTTTTCCGTAGCTTTGATAATGAAAAAGTACTATTGAAGTGATTTATATACAATTTTTTATAATAATATTTTCATATTAATTATATTTATATTTTCATATAAATATATTATATTTATATAAATTATTAATAATATAATAATACTTATATTTTTATATTTATCTATGAAAATATAAATAACTGCAAAACAAGTCCGAGCAAGAAAAAACTTTATTTATCTGACGCATGATGAATTCCCTGCTGAAAAAATAATACGCACGAATATATTTTACATATCGAACAGATGTTTACGAAAACATTTTGAGAAACTTCCACAGAAGACTGAACTCGAATTATTTATCGGATCTTCGTTCGCCGCACGGAACTTTGCAACGCTTTGCAATATTCACTGATACGACTTCTTCTTATGATGACGAGTAGAAACTTTATGTGTTATTGCTTTAACACGAACAATATTGAGCGCGACACATTTTATTAATATATCTAATATATTAATTATATCAGATCTACACCGAACCATATTCCTGCATTACACAGTCACATTTGAAGCTCGTTACCTCGCGTGTAATCAGCTATGCCACTTTTATCGCCCCTTGTTGATAGGTGACACGTGTGCACATATCGTTTACATGCTGTAATATTTTACATAAATGACGTTTAACGACTTCATCGTGAACAATCCTTATCGACCTTAACCTAATAAGATCTTCCAGAAAAAATGTTCACACGGATCTCGATGATATCGGATGCTTAAATTATACGTATACGCGAAATCCAATACATGTGTATACAAACGCATGTTGCGCACGGTTAGTGTAACACAGTTATTACTGACGTGTAGTTATATATATACCAGCATGGCTTTAGTTGCTTTTCAATATGCGGGTACATGTTGTTCGTGTACACGGATTTTGTAATACACGTGAGACCTGTAGTCGTGTCAGATTACAGCCGGCAAAAACGGGAGAGATATCCAATAATAAAAACGTACATCGCATACATGTTGGTTAAGTAACTCGGTTTAACGAACGGCCTGTATCCTTTGATCACTATACCAAATAATTTAGATTTTTTTATGCATGAAAGTTAGTTTAATAGGATGTGCGCATGAGTAAAAAAAATATTCATTGAAAGTATATATTTTTACTTCGTCTATGGATTTTTTAGTCAATTTACGTGAATGACTTTTTTAGTGCAACGTTTATTAAGTTCCACTCAATGATTTTTGTAACAGTGAACATTCAATTCTGAATGTGTCTCAAAGTAGCAAAAATAACATTTTGTAAAATATAAAATTTGTAAACTCTTGTTTAAAATAGCTTGAGATTAAGTGAATAAATTATTTTGTCATTCATTCGTACCGTAAAAGTTATTATTGGGCAATAGTATCGGAATTTTCCCATTTATGTAAAAGTAATTCTAGATTGATTAAAGTCTTGTGCCATGTAAGAGCATACGCGGAGATTCCAAGTTTTACTACATATATTATATATATGTGTATGTGTCTATCGTGGAGAGTCGAGAAGATAGCGGGATTTACCACTCGAATTAACGAGAAATCCAGACTAATAATGGAAAGCATGGGAAATTTGAGAGAGCAAATGTGCGATAGCGTCTATCGCATCAGTGATTCACATACGCTTAGATAAAACAAACGCCCCTTTGACTCACCCGTTAAAAAACGATACATTCTCGTCGGCAAGACGTACACGGGACTTGGTGGTCGGAGAAAGCTCTCGCATTTACGTCTTGCCGTCGCTCAAAGAAAGCCTTCGCCACGGCTGCGCGTCCCCCGTGAATAACGTTCGTTATTCGTCCTGGAAGTGAGTTTATTACATTGTGAGCAGGCACTACGGGGTTTTACAGCTAGGTACCGGCAAGATATAAAACGTCGTTGGCATACAAAGTGCAAAAACGCAACCAGGTAGAGAATCCTTTCTCACGTACGTACATTTGATGTACAGTCCTCTCTCCTTCAACTTTCTTATCTTCATTTATCTAACACTTTCGTGTAGAAGAATCTGAAGCTATCTTCACAGCTCTGAAGAAATAGGACTAATGGATCCCATCACTGTGTTCTTGAACAAATTGATTTCTCCTAAGCAAAAATTTAATTGCTTGTCACTGTCTATAAGAAAGATTGCCAATCTCATTCAATAATCTTTTTATTCAAATGTTAATTCTTATTAATACAGTCTAACTTAAATTAAAGATTACAATTTTTATTTTGAAAACTAATTTCATTAAACTTTCCTATAATTTAATAAAGTATTTGTGTTGAATCGATATTTACTTAATTTTTTATGCTATTAATTAAAGTTATATCAAAAAGTGGTCAATTACAAATTTATCAAAAATTGTTCTGGTGTTGATTTTTTCTTTGAAAACACCCGGCACGTAAGCTTGATCAATATCTCGCTACGCTGTAATTACCATTACTGTAACAGCGCCGTGATTAAAAAAGTAAACTGCTCAGAGCAAAACGAGAAATTCTCCATAGCATTCATTGCTTTTAGATCGATTCTCGATATCGAATAACGAAGAGAAGAGATGGATGAAACATAAAGTCTCTCAGAAAATGCAAAAATATCGGTTACGCTTTGTAGTCATTGCATAGTTCATTTCATGCAAATAAATTTGAAACTATCTTGATGTTCATATATTATTAAATTTTGTTGCAAGTTTTACTTTTATACATAAGTTCGATAAGCATATTCCAACGTAACGTGAATTTGAATTTGTTAAATTGTTTATTATTTTAAACGGTATAAAATAAAAAATAAATAATGCAACGCAATATAACTAATATCAAGGCTTATACCGAACAATTACAGTTTACTTATAAGATAAATTTCATTTTAATTTATATATAAGTACATTAATATAACTTTCAAACGTTTTGACTTACAATAACAAATAATAACAATTTTATATCCTTAGAAAGTCATCGAAAGTCATACATATAATAAATAATAAGAATTATCGCTCTAAGCTGATTTTACATACTTATCGGCGCGTTAAAATACTAAACGGTATTTGAATAAGATTAGGTATACCTTACGGAAAATTTTAGATCCTTTAAATGCACATGCATTAGGTACCATTTCGCAGAAACTCATTAATTATTGAAAGTTCTAACTTTATTTCAAACAGTTTTATAGTCAATATCTTTTTTAATTTTTTTAAAATACTAAAGAATACATTAATTAAATAAAAAATAAAGAAATACTAAAAAATACATTAATTGAGAAAGAATGTTTAAGAAAACAATGCGACTTATGCATCAATATCGATTTTGCGATGTATCTCTTGCGGCTCAAAATCTGTTCGTGAGAAGACAGACGATGTGCCATAATAACATTTGATTTCGCATCACAGTGCGTTCGACGGCTGTATTATAATACACGGAAAATACATGGTGTGTATTATATTACATTCAGAGAATCGCGGCGAGACGAGACGAGAGCGCAATCGCGTGACTAGGCGCAGACAGGGGCGAGGAAACATTATTGAGCACGTGCACATAAATGTTTCTGAACAGGCTCGTATTTTACTTCATTCCGCACGATAAGAACCTTCTACCACCGTGATCCGAACAACTCATTTCTGACAACCCATTCATCGTTTTCCGCGGCACGTAACCTACTCTCCACGATTGCGCACCACTTTCAGACGCAGTTGAAACAGATAGAAAACGGAGGTACACATTTTCAATCTCATTATATGTTTTCTATTATTCATCTTATTGTAGCTTCAAAGCATAATTAAAAATTTGGTGAGTTTGCCAATTTCTGATCACTTTCGACGTATTATGAGTTATATTCTATTAGTGCATTCTTTTAACATTCTCTCTTTCGACAGCAAATTTTCAAGATGCAGACATTTTTAATTTAATATAATATTTAATGTAATATTTATTTATATAATTTAATATTAATTATTGTAATTTATAATTAATATAATTAATATTAATTAATACAATTTAATATACACTGTTAAATTCATAATATCAAATTACATCCAATTTGAGTTATTTTTATTCATTTCTATAAATCACTACTGGTCTTACTCAATATGTAGTTAATTTAATTAAAACAACGGAATTAAACAATTTAATTCAAGAAAGTATATTAAATTTGACTTAAATTTAGTTTGTTATTAATAAGTGCATACGTTAATACGGACGTTTATTTTGAAATAAAAAAATTGAACTAACTCCAGAAATGGATTGATTTACATTTTAACATACATGATGGATGTTAAAAGTAACAAAATGTTATTTAATTCGAGGGATTGGATTATACTATATTGCTCCTTTAATGTCTGAGAGTGTAATAATATAATATAATATAATATAATATAATATATATAATATAATATATATAAATATAACCATTTTCCCCTTTGCCATACATTACATATAGAATTTTACGATAATACACTCAAGTTCTCCGTATTATTCTGTATACTATGAACTTGAAAATAAATTGATAATATGAATCATATCACAGTTACTCAATTTCGTCCTACTAAGAGTGTTTACAGATGTTTGTAACCATTAGAGATACAGAGTATCCCAACACTATCGCGCTACTCCTCTTGATTACTCGAGAATCTGAAACTCGAGAATAAACTAAGAGAGACGATCGTTGTTTTAATGTTGGAACATCGCAATAATTCTTGATAATAGTTGTACTAGTTCAAAATTAAAAAATTTAAAAGGTATAAATAGATAACAATTATTATCTATTTATATCTTGTAAATTTTTAAATATTGTATTACGTTGGAAAATCTATTGTCTCTAATATTTTAAAATATTAGACAATATATTTTCTAACATAATACTATACCGGAAATATCTCGCAATAACATATCGAACTTGTTTAAGGTTCGTTTAAGGTGGCAGTTCTTCGCGCCTTCAAGGAAAGATACAGAAATGAGATTTTATTTCCCTCAACGTTTTCTGAGCGTGCTTCTGCTGCTCGTCGCTTTGACGTGCGCCACACAAGCCAGCAGCCTCCGAGCGAGGCGTTCTGTCTGGAATGATATCGGAAACACATTGAACAACATCGGGCAGACAATCAAGGGTACCATGAAAACCGGAATCGACTCTCTATTCCTGCACCAACATTCGACTGCCGATCCCGAAACGATCCAACCGACCTTGGAACCGAACTGGAACGAAACGACACTATTAAAGCGGAATGAATCGAACTTTCGGGAAATCATAGATGCTCCTGTCAGATGCCCGCCTAATCATGTATTAGTAAGAAATAAATGTAGAATCCATGGTCGTCGATAAGATTCCGTCAAGTTTCAGAAAATATCGAAGATATATATCTTTTACATTTTTATCTATTAGTAATTTTTAAATCTTATGTTATTGTGTATAAACTTTAAAATTTTATTGAATTTTCCTTAGATAACCATTTTCAAGAAATATATTATTTTTTTATTAATGTAAATTGTATTTCTGATCATAATTCATTAACATAACCCAGAGAATGTCTACAATCTATTCAGATTGAATAACTCTGAGAAAATTTAACTATTCGCAGTAAGCGATATGACTTGACAATTACAGCTCGCCTATTATTAAGGCCTTTATAATGTACACGTATTTGTGGAATGAGATGTAACTATTTCATTTATGTTATATCGATGCATGTATTCGTAGAGCGTCAAATAATAACATAATTAAACGTTTCATAATGATATTAATATCAATTAGCAGAAATGTGTTGGTTGTTAAATAATTATCCATTATTCTATGTAACGCTTTGCTAAACTTATAGCACAGGTAGCTACTTTATAGTAGTACGCTGATATGCTTTATACTGGTATGCTTATCAGGTAAATCACGATGTCGACATCAGTCTTGAATAATAGCATAATTATACACTTTATAAGCGTGGTAATATCATCCGCTGACACTTTGACATAAATTAGTAATTAATTTTTTCAACTATAAAGGAATATTTATCTACTATTCAACGTACTACTACACTCGCGGGATCTGATTCATTTCGAATATGTTTATTGTCGTCTCGTAATTAAAAATTATATCCATATTGTTTATGCATTTTCTCGCTTGCCGCTCACGTCCGCATAAATGTCATAAAATCAGGCAGAATCTCGTTCTTGCTGTTTAACGTTTTCTTTTACGATCCCCGGGTAATATTTCGCACCCGAGGCCCGCACTAAGTACCTGTTCGATTTCTAAATTACACCTGTCACGAATATAAAACGAGAGTTACAAGGTATAGCGATAGATCAGGCGGTATAATAATGACGCGGCGATACATATCGAATTCTCTTTTAATGACTGTATCGCGTGTAAACTGTAAAAACGCGATCGTGGAGGTAGATAAGCGTATACATTTGTAGGATTAATATATCGTTTACTTCCCTAGCCGCACAAAACGCCGCTGCGCTATTGTTTCCCTTATCTGCCGCGTATTTCCTCAATTATCAATTACCAATTATTATGCTCGTGACACGGCTCTTCACGCGCACGAGAAACTATACACTCGCACGGCGCTCGTAACTAATACTTACACATATATATTAAACAATTAACGTACACTCACATTTGTGAATAAAAATCAATTGATACAGTGGATAATATTGTAATAATATTCTTAGCCGTATATATATAATTTGCTCATTTGCTACTATAATTGTAATTTTTTAAATTATATATATTTTGAAAAAGAAAGAAAATGTAAATTAAAAAATATACTTTAAAAAAATATAATTTTATTCCTCTGCAACCAGTTATCAAAATTGCATTTAAAAATTAATTTTACAAACTTTTAATGAATCCAAACATTCAAATTTTTATTATCTGAAAAACTTTTTTTTTAAGTTTTGTCACTATTGTAGCAAATAAGCTATATGAAATATAAATTTTTTCTAAAATTTTTTCAATTATAGTAAGAAGTAATCGCATCAATTCGAATCGATATACATTATTACGGGATCTTAAATATTTTAAATTTATGTTTGGACAATTTTTTCTTATTGAGCTCGATAGACACGAATATTTTATGAAACGTCCAGCGTTGTCTTCCAAACATTAAATCGCTTTCGTTACACTATCGAAACGTTATTTTATCGTTCATTTTACTGGCTTTTCCATCTTCGCCGTAAAACGTACTTTAGTGAAGACAGGGCTCGTTCGGAATGACTGATTCAATTCGCGCTCCACCACTACATTTCTTACACAACAAAGCGTTCTCGTGTTCCGCGGTGCTTTCGACTCGTCGCCGTGCGATATGTCGGTGTTGGGGGACTCCATATAAAGTACAGCTGTCGCTGAATGGAACGAGACCTGAATTTGCGTGATCGCTAATTGTGACTGCAATGCCTCTTTGTGACCAGCGCGCGCTCCTACACTCTCTACTTGCACACGTATCCGTAGAGAGCCGGCCAGATTTCCTGCTCATTGTCAGAAGTAGACGGCCCTCTCGGCACTTGTTGCTCGCACATCGACATTTGTCTGGCGTACTATTATATCGCGCTGCATTTCACTTCCGACGCCCGCACTCTTTGTCAAGTTAGGCTCGCGTCTCCATGCCGCGCATCGAATCCATGAAATGTGCATCTGCGTGTTTTGTCTTTTCAAGCGAGCCCTAGAAAAGTAGCAGGTAGCTACTGGAAGAGAAAATCATAAAGGGACATCGTGCCACAATAGCCATATGCGTATCGTCTCTTTCAAGCTACTTCAGAAGTTAAAATAAACGAAAATCAGAGAGCCAATGTTCAACGAGATAACTCAAAGTGAAGTAACTTGTGTATCAAGATATTTTCAATCAAAATTTGGGTCTTATACTTTTTTAAATAAACCTCATATGTCTATAAATAATGTAAATAAAATGTAACGTTAAAAAAGATAATATTTAAAAAATCCAAATCAATGTATGTAAATTATTTAAATACTGACAATCAGCCAATTTTTTACAGAAATCTAATGGCTAATTCATTACTGGAGGACAGTAATTAATTGTTTATTTAAATGTTATTAGAATGCTAAAAATATTAAATAACAGTGTTGTTAATATTAAAAATAAGCAATTAATAACTATCTTTCAGTATATTAAATTGACCAGTATTAGATTTCTGGAGATAAGGGATGGCACGCGCGAGACATTATGGTAGCGAAAATCGTATAGATTCTCACAGTTTTACATATGTAAAATCGCAACTAAAAAAAGTTGTATTTTTTTCTTAACGTTCTAAGAACGTGATGACATTCCATTATAATTCACCATCACATTACATCGCGCATTATTCTCGTCGGTATGGTAATCCTTTCTTTGCTTCGCTTTACGAGCACCGTCTTTATTGGATTTTTGCGACCAACGACGTTTCTGTATTCGACTCCTGAAAAGAATGTTTCATCGCTACTATTCGAAGAAGTAACTTCGAGCGACTGTTCCTTCCCTCTATTTTTTTTTTATTGCAGCTACTACTTGTTATTGCCGCATGTTCGGGTGGATCTCACGGCTGGGAATTCTTGGCGAGATGTCTTTTGTGGTAATTTGAAATTCAAATAGAAGGTAACATAATGCTTATAAACGATACGAAAATAAGATGAAATTCAATGTGTGAACTTTTGACGATTTTAAAATTGAAAGCGCAAATGTATAAACAAGTTGAAATTCCCCTTTGTGAATATTAGAGATCCTTATCGATAAATTATCAAAGCACATCGCAAAACCTACTCTACTTTAATAATTCCCTTTAACGAATAGTCAATTAGAAGGAAATTTCGAGAAACGTTATCATTTATTATAATCTTGTGATATTTCGCAATAATATCGCAAATCTTGTATTCAATTTTGAAAAATCTATTTAAATTGAGATGAACAATAATTCGTTATTTATTCGTATCTGTAAAGTTATTATTCTGGAACTTCCGTTGCGAATATTTTGGGAATCATGTTGTCTACAGGCAAGTATTAAAATATTTCGGATCTTATCCTGGATGCCTAGGTAATTTTCCGGACATTACCCATGACTTCGATTAACGGTTGACTCCAAGTATCCGAGTGCAGAATGAAAAGAGCATCACTCTTTGACTTAAAAGCAGAAACAAAAATTATCTTTACAATGTAAAATATTGATTTTTTTAAGTGCAAAATGCTTACTTTTGTCTTAATTTAACAATGATATGTAATTCATTAATATAAGGGATATAAAAATTCTATTTGAAACTTTAATAGGACAACTAGTCCCAGAAATAGTTTTTATTAGTCAATCATTATCTAATCTTTTTGCGATATTTTCATAAAATCTTCAAAGTAAACCTGCAAATTAAAATAAATAATTTTTTATAATAATTAATGAAATATAAAAAAAAATACTTACTGTCCAAGATTTATAAAGTTGTCAAACATTCTATATAATTGTTGTTAAAAAAAAAACACGGACTATTTCCATGCTGAGGTCAATATGGGTCATTATTCTTACTTTCCATTCTTTGTTTCATTCATCTGTGGAATTCGTATTTGTAATCTGCGTTGGATGACTACTAATAAGTACGATATCGGAAACTGATAGTAATTAGATCGTTGCAGTCAAAGCTAATAATAATGCACGAATTACTATTCATAAGCCGCGCCATGCTTACAGCATCCAGTTATAGCAATTACGCGTTCAAACGATCGTTTAAAGAGTTGAAAGCCCTCTGAGATATTTACCGTCCCTCCTGTGGAAAGGCAAGCAGGATGCATGAATTTCTTCTCTCTCTCTCTCTCTCTCTCTCTCTCTCTCTCTCTCTCTCTCTAATTTAAACTTCCAAAATTTGCAAGGTAATCACTAATTTAAACTCGTATTTTCGGCTTGAATAATCATATAGTAGCATTTTAGAGTGTACGAAATATACGATATGGAAACGTTGTAGACGTTAATAACAGTTCTAAAGCTGCCTAAAGTTTTGACAGAACATAATGTCACGTGACACGGCTAATTGCCTCTATACATTTTCGCAATGATGAACCGCTATCTCTCGTGTAAGTGGAACACTTGCGTGTTAGTCAGACGAAACTGTAGAACCAGCTGTGTGATAAATATTAAGAAATCTTGATGGCAGGTACTCATATTTTTCAAGATAAACTTTTATTTTTCGCATTTCCTTGATCGATTTCTTCGTTCAAACAGTTTTATTTATGAAAAAGACAATCTATATGCAATTTTTCCTTTACAAACAGATATATATTTACGCGCGTATCAAAATTATGTAAACGTATCAAAATGTTTGCATAATTTACTCTGCTATAACATACGTTTCCGATTTGTAATGGTTCCATAAATTTTCTCCTCTCCACACCTTTCCTGTGCAGTGCCTCTTTTTATACCGCCTCTCGTCGTTAGACTATCGGACATCGACCAAAAACACCGCCCTGAATTTGTCCAGTGGCCATAGGCTTTCGGACCCGACGGCGTCTCTTGACGTGTCCCCGAAAGAGGCAAACTAGTTTGCTCACGCCAGGGCGACACGATCGTCGTCCAAATACCCCCCGCCCACGTTGTCTGGGAAAGCGCTTTTTACATTTTTGCATATCCATGAGCGTCCCAGCTCGCGCGGGGTGAGCTAAGTCCGCAATATCGATAACCCATAATCGTCGTCACTCGTCGCTGCCGCCGCCGCCGCTTCTAGCCGTCGTTATTTAAACGTGCCGAAGCGAGGCTCGGGCATAAGTCTCGCGGCAAATCCAATATCCACAAACAGGCATGCATGTGCAATGGGCAATCAGATGCAGCCGCGAGAGTACATCCGGATGTTCGGATGCGTCTTATCGATTCGGTTGGTCGCACGATCGTCCAAAAGCTATCCTCTTTCTCTCACTTTTCTTCACTCTGTCTCTCGCGTGCAAGACGAAGAGAACGTGGAGAACGACAGTGACGACGACGACGACGGCGACGGCGGCGACC